ATTCTGCTGAACACATCTTTTATTTATTGGGACAAAGAACATCTCTGTGTGTGAACTCTTCCCTGGTTCAAGTCTCCCTCACCTGTGCCTGCCCATTCCCAACCTCGCCCTGCAGGTCCCCAGGCCCCTGGCTGGTGTCACTGCAATCCCACATGGATGGCCAGTAATGAAAAAAGGGGGAGGAAAATGCAGAGATATCCCAGAGGGAATTAGGGAATGCTCCACTTGGGAATTCCCAAGGTTCACCTTTACCCTCCTGCTCAAAGAAATGCTGCTCAAGAAAAGCCTGCAGGACCTCTTCACTTTTCACACTTCAATTAAAAACTGCCCCTAAGTATTTGCAGGGCTTGAGCCAGGACGTGCAAAGGTCACTGGAGCTCCCAGAGTCGCTGATTTCTGGGCCAAGCCAAAGGATTTTGTGGATTTTGTTCTCCTTTCTGTTTAAAAGCACAGGAAAAGGTTGGCACTGAGAGCTCCTCCTCCATCACTTTGTCCTTTCATTGCTGCAAACCTCCCTTCCATTGATCCCCTGTAGATGGGAGGATTTTTACATCAATTCCACAACTGCAAATTTTGTTTCCTACTCTGAATTAGCCACAACATTTAATTCCATTCTTTCTTCTGTAGGCTGTTATTTTTCAGCTGAGCTTAACTAAGTTCTTCTGAGACTGGAACACAGAATGTTTTCTTCCAGTTTTTGCTACTTTTCTGCATAAAATGCAATGGATTTCAAAAAGCAAAATTGATTTCAAACAGGTGGGAAAAGTTTGGCTCTAAAAATGATCTATTTCAACAATTTTCACACAACCACAATTCCTCAGTTGAATTCTTTTCCTCAGTGTATTCCCCATGGAAATAAAAGTTTCCTTACGGAAACATCAGGCCCCAGGTAACTCTTTCAGTTCTTTGCACATAAAGTTAATATTTAGGGAATATTTCCTGCATTTTCAGCTTCCTGAAAGGAGCTCAGACAATGCCACTGGGAAGGTCCAGGTGTATCACCATTATTCCCATGGAATACCAGCAGCATCTGCTTTAATTGATCTGTGCTCCTGAAAGGGGAATGATGGATTTGACTTAAAAATAACAAAACAAACGAACAAACAAACAAAAAAACCAACCAAACATAAATAAAACAAACAAAACCAAAAACCAAACCCAAACAAAACCAAACGAAACAAAGGCAGAAAAGGAGATTCAGACACTCGAGGCTGTTTCCTGTCTGACTCTGGAGCTGGCAGGGATCAGGGTGGGAGCAGGGGAACACTGAAAAGGCTCCCCTGACACTCAGGATGGCCCAGCCCTTCACAAAGTGCCACTGAAACTTTGCTTGGAATAAAAAGCAGATTTGAAGAATTATCAGCTTTCTGCCAAAACAATGAATTTTCACCCCTTTCAAAAGCCAGAAGTTTCATCTCTGTGGAATAAATGCCTGATTTCAGAGCAGTGTCTTGGGTACCAAATAAACCAGAGGTCTAAGAAAGCCCCAGTTCTCCCAGGGCTTCATTAGAAGAGAACCAAATGTTTAATTGCTTTTCCTTGAGGAAGTTCTTGTTCTAAGATGTGATGACCTTGGCCTGAAGGTGATTTCCAGGCACCCAGCCCTTGGAGGGAGCACTGACATTTGGAATAATGAACCATTTTAGTGGCTCCAGCTGGGCTGTGAAAGGGCTGCTCTGAGCCACTACAAACAATCTGCTTTTGGATAGGAAATATTTGGGGAAAAAAAGCCCAAATCTGAGCAGAACATCCCAAAGAGACTTTCCTGGTAGGGGAATTTTCTTTGTGAGGTGCACAAGTGCAGAGATTTTTCTTGTCTTTGTATTAAGGAGAGCTGGGTTCCTTTCCAAGTGGAAATGTCTGGCTCATTTTTCATGGAGTCCAAAGAACTTTGGTGAACTGAATTCCACTGATCACAGAGTCATGGAATGGTTTGGGATGGGAGAGACCTCAAATCCCCCCCAGAGCCACCCCTGCCATGGCAGGGACACCTCCCACTGTCCCAATGTCCAACCTGGAACTGAACATTCCAGGGATCCAGGGGCAGCCACAGCTGCTCTGGGAATTCTTTGCTTCAGTAAAGCCAGGAAAGGAAAGGGAAATGACAATAATGAACTTGGTTTGTTCTCAGCAGAGTGAATCCAGGAATTCTGGTTGGACTTGGAAAGCCAACAGATAAATGTTGTAAATAATAAATAAATGATAAATGTTGTAACTGCAAATCTGTACCTTGACCTCCCAGCACCACAGTCCCTGCAGATTAATGGGCTCCAGAAATGCAAAGAATAATTTCCAATCTCTTTGTACAGAGTCAGGATGTTGTTCCTCTTCCTTACAAAGTCAGCCCTGAAGATCTGGGTCTCCCAGGATAAACACTGAGCCCAAAGCAAGATGCTGCTTTAAGAGAAGGGAGGTTCTGCTGTGGGAATCAC